AGAAAGAAAGAAAGAAAGAAAGAAAGAAAGAAAGAAAGAAAGAAAGATCGTGCATTAAAGCCATTTTAAAGCACCGCCTTTACTCTTAAGAAAGAAAACTCCCTTCGGAGTTTTCCCTTCGGAAAACTTCGGAGCTGTAGCTCAAAGGAATCGAGCGATTCTTGCTCAGTTCCTGACAAACGATCAGTTTCGCTTTCGTTTTCTACTTCTTCCCAAAAGGAGGCGGACTTTGCAACCTTCCAGAGCTTTTCTGCCCGGAGCTGCCGGATTTCGGGTGGCTAGAAGCACGAAGTGTCTGCGGGTAAGTCCCCCACCCCCCGCTCCCCCCGCCCCACCGAATGGCAAAACATCGCGCTCTGTTGCTGTGTAGGTCTGAATGGCTGAGCTAGACTGCTAGAAGACCTTCATCGCTCCCTGGAATCCAAAACAACGTAGTCGTATTGAAATAAAATAACATTTAAGGACTTATCTGAAATTTGGGGTTTGCTTAACACGAGGTTTTAATATTATCGCTAAACGAAGTGTTAAAGAAGGGTAGATCTTTTTCTTTAAAGATGTATGGTTATTACTGTTCTTAATGGTTTTATGCTATTTTCATTATTGCTGTTGATATTTACAGTTGCTGACCTGCATTGTTTAAAATAGTATAAATATTCAGTAGTATAACTAATGATAAAAAAAATCTTACCTAACCAATTTAATCCTGATTAATTGTGATGCTTGTGATTTTCTTGTTTACTCATCTTGTATTATTTTCTTTTGCCTTTTATTTCTTGTTTGTCTTATTGATTTTTCTTAACTTAATACTTTTGGGGACCCAAACATTTATAGTATTTGTTTCAACTTCAGTCTCTGATATTTCTCTTATCATTCCCATACAAACTCCATTGTTGCCTCATTTCACGTTCACCTCTAACCATTTCCGTACTTTTCTGTTGGAAGTTAGGATTCCCCTCTCATCTAGGAAAACAGCCCTCCAACCTTTGTCAAGTAGGGCTATTAAAATAGCTGGAGCCAGCTTACTTTTCACAACAAAGGAAGGAGAAAATTTACGGGCATGGGATATAGAGAAGAAAACCCTACAAACTAGCTAAGATCCTTTCCCATAGAAATCAAATAGATGGCAAGTTATAAAAACTTGTGAAAAGCAAACCAAAAGGCATGGCAGGATAGCATGATAGCAAACAAGCAACTACAAAGGATCAGGACCATAAAACCAAAATCCCAGAAAAAGATCCCAGTCTCAAAGAGACAGGAACTCAACACACACACAAATCAAAGACTTCACATCCAAATCAAAGGACCTGAAAAGGTATTAAAAGGGGTTTTCTTACCCACTTATCAGATAAATCCTAGGAACGCTGTGAGATTTCTTTTTACCTGCCTTCCTATAAATAAACTGATTCTGACTTCCAAGCAGCTGACCAAATCATTTTGCATTAAAATCTCCCAGCCAGGAAATTTGAACCTACAAAAGGAAAGAACTTTGCCTATTCCTTAAAGGGCAAGGCTTCTTTTTTCCTTTCCTCATTTCATTACACTCACTGCTGGAAACTCCTTGTTTTTCCATTATCTCTGTGCAATGACGATACTGAGATTACTCTTAGAAGGGAACTCTGAAACACATGGGTTACTTTCTATGTGTGAACTCAACTGTTCTACTTGTTCTGTGCTTTTAAAATTGCTTGCCAGGCTGGCTGAGTAGCTCCCTTGTGTAGTCATAATCATATCTGGGCTGAAAAATCCAGATGACTGGCAGTTGGCACAAAGAGACATAGAAAATACTTTTATTTTTTCATTGCCACTTGGTGTTTGTCCAGATTTTTGTGGCCATAATACAGTACAGTAGCCACCTGTTGAGGTCCAACATTGACCCTTTGTTTTAAAGATTACATGGAGCAAGTTGGGCCACGCCCCCTCTGCCAATGAGCCTCAAGGGGTTGCCTCCCTTACTTGATTCTGTGGCATGGGGGCGGGAATACAAGGGAAATTAATGGGAAGTCTTAAAACTGAATGAATGAATTATTTATTGCCCAAGTGTGATTAGACGCACAAGGGATTTGTCTTGGTGCAAATGCTCAGTGTACATAAAGAGAAAAGATACATTTGTCAAGAATCATCAGGTACAACAATTAATATAGTCATAGGATACAAATAGGCAATCAAATCATACTAGGAAACAGTCAGTATAAATTGTAAGGATGCAAGCAGGGAATGATTTATTTAGCAGAGTGATGGGGTTTGGGGAAAAAACTGTCCTTGTGTCTAGTTGTTCTGGTGTGCAGTGCTCTATAGTGTCGTTTTGAGGGAAGGAGTTGAAACAGTTTATGTCCGGGATGTGAGGGGTCTGTAAATATTTTCACAGCTCTCTTTTTGACTCATGCAGTATACAGGTGCAGTGGTTAGAGTGCAGTACTGCAAGCTACTTCTGCTGCAGCCAGCTGCCTGCAATTTGGAGATCGAATCTCACCAGGTTGAAGGTTGACTCAGCTTCCATCCTTCCGAGGTGGGTAAAGTAAGGACCCAAATTGTTGTGGGCAATATGCTGACCCTGTAAACCGCTTAAGAGAGGAGTATAAAGCACTGTAAAGCAGTATCTAAGTTTAATGCTATTGCTATTTATCTAGTTATTTCTACATCATTCAATGAGTAAATATTGTATAAATGCATCAGTTTTTATTTGTAATGCCATAAATGATGAATGCAACCAAAAGCTATTTGGGGATCTTCCACAATTTTTTTTTTAAGTAGGAAGGGGTCTTGATAGAAGAAAATTTCAAGAAATACTGTACTAAGTTATGCCATTCCAATCACAACTGACTTTGAATAACTTGCATCAAAATAGTAATAGGATTAAAACCAGACGCAGCTATACGATCATAAAAAAAATAACAGAAATGTGATCAATCACACCCTGCATATTAAGGAAGAGCCAAAACACCATCCTCATCAGGAAAAGACTAGGCCCTCTGGAGCAACATGTTCTTAATGTCTTTGTGAAAAGTTAACAGGTTGGGGGCTTCTCTGATATCACAGAGAATGATGTTCTAGAGGAGAGGACAATTGTCCCTGGCAGTTTAGTAAGCACAGCCATGACAATAAGTTCAGGAATCAACGCTTTCCGATAGTCTGATTCAATGCCTTGGTCCTCCCTTTTTTGCCCCCGACCATACAGAAATAGCAGGATCAGAATGAGCGCCACAGAGGACCTTCTGAAGATCGACGAGGAATTGTATTCCCGCCAACTGTGAGTCTAACGTGGGACACAAAAGTGGGAGGGATGCTAAGAAACCCCAAAGGGCTCTATATCGCTCGAGAGCTGGTGTCATAGAGATCAGCTGCTGTCTGAGAGTAGTTGGATAATGAGTGAGCATCTGGTGGAATTTATTCTGAAGAAGAATCTGGCGATTGAGACAACTGTTAACACTGTGAAGTAGTCCTGACAAGAAATACGAGCAGGAAAACCGGCTCTGTCTTTATTGTCAGGTTACATTAACAGAATTTTGCAAGATTGAAATTGTTTCTCCCTCCCTGTCCCTAACTAGAAAAGGTCCCTCCTGAAACATTTATCACAGCATCCCGTGGGAAACCTTTTGGGCTGAGATATCTTTTACATGCCGCTTGTCCAGCTTGCGGCTTTCCTTCTGTCTCTCGAGATCATTCCATGCATAAAATGCATAATGACAGACGGAATAAAAATAGGGAACATTAATTGGCAAAGAAAACCGAAGGTAAAACTGCAGTTGAACAAGAACAAGAGTGCAGTTCGCTGTTCAGGCTTGGCATTCGCATCGTTGTGGTGTTTTTGTTCCAGCTATGTGCTTGGGCACGAGGCCATGCAGAAGATGGCTACAGCAACGGTGCTGGTCTCTGGAATGACGGGGCTGGGGGTCGAGATTGCCAAGAATGTGATTCTTGCAGGAGTGAAATCTGTCACACTCCATGACCAGGATGATGCTCAATGGAGGGACCTGTCCTCACAGGTATGCAGTTTACTGATCTTGCCTAACAAATGTGAGAGAGCTCTTATAAGACATAGGTCTTTGATTCTGCTCACACATTCCGCACAGATTTTATTCAGCTGTAGTTACTTTCCCACAAGCCTACATAGATATAGATAGATCATGGATGGTGAACCTTTTGGGCCCCAAGTGCCCAAAGCATGTGCACGTGCTCCCCCAAAATGCACGTTGCCTCCCCACGTGCATGTGCTGCACCCCCGTGCATGTGCCCCAGCACATGCACCCCCCCGCACATTTGCCCTGCCCCCTGCATGTGCCCCTGCATGCACCCCCGCCCTCTCGCATGCACAGCAGAAACCTGAAGTCCAGCTGGCCAGCAGGAGGCTCACGCGCATGCACAGTGGAGCTGAATTGGGGTGATGGCACACATAACCAGAGAGGGCTCCACGTGCCACCTGTGGCACACATGCCATAGGTTCACCACCACAGATATGAAGTTCCATAGACATCATGTGTGCATATACATCTTGTCATGCCCCTGGTGGAGACTGACTCTGAGGGGAGAGGAGGAACAGCCGACAGGGAGTGGAAGTGTGGCTCTGGAGGTTGTGGAGGAGGCTGGGGAAGGGCAGAGGCCGGCTGGGCAGTCAGAGGAGGACCCAGGCCCATCCTCTCTCCATCCTAGGGCACGCAGGGAGGAGAGGATAAGGGAAAGACGTTGTCTACTCGGGAGGAGAGGGTCTTGATCCTCTTCATGGGATGCAGGTGTGAGAACTGCATAAGAGTTTGGATCCTGTGTGCTAGCAAACGATGGAAACGAAGAGTGTTTTAGTCCTGGGTGAGGTTTATCTTGGTTGGCGTTCTTCCAACGGACTGTACCTGGTTATCTTCGTGAAGTTTGTAATGAATTATCCTGGTCTGTCGAGGAACTTTCTTCAGTGTGGTTTGTTTGGGGTTTTTTTTTATTGCTTCGTTATCTGCTCTCTGAGTTTGGACTGTATTTCTTTTGGAATGTTATTTTGGAAAGAGTTTTATCTCCAGCTGTGAACAATTGAACAGTAAGCCAAGTTGAAGGCATAAAGAAAATTTATTTACGTTTTGGTTTTTGTTAGGTTTGTATTGTCATCACACATCTATATGTTATCAATTTCTGAAATCATTCACTGTCTCTTTTGCAGAGAGTATTTCTGTGCAGAAGGAAGTGGGGAATATTAATTAATTACATTTATATGCTGCCCACCTCACTATCCAAAGCAACTTTGGAATTCATCTTCTTTCTTAGCACAAAGGAAGTGGCACATTTCTTGTGCAGGAGAATTGGAGGCACCTTGTTTTCCAAATCCTCCTGTCCAAAGAAAAGTGGTCTACCTTCTTCAGCCCAGAAGGGACATTTGTCTCCATTCAGATCTCGGGGGGTAGATCAGAACCCCTGCAGATGACTCAAATAATCCTAACCCTCTGCCAAACCTGCCCCCTTGTATTGCCATGTCATTTTCTTTTATAGTACCTAACTTAAAAATGGTGCCAGCAAGCCAGTGTGATTCCCCCGCCCCATCCACCCTGGTTGATTGCTGATCTCAAGAGATCTGCTGCAGAAGGAGTAGATGGGGCAGGTGCTTCCACTTCTCTTCTAAGTTGGAAGGAGTGTATGGCAGATAGAGGTACAAAATTGAAGGAATGCCCATCACTTAAAGACAGTTTTCTAAGTGTGTGATAGGACCCAATTTCCCATCATGCCATCTGGATTCTCAATTAGTCTTGATTTCTGCTCATTTCATAACAGATAATTGTTGGTAATTTAATTCTATACATGGCTGAATGAATAATATAACCATGGGATTCTAAAAGATTGCCTAATTTGGGAAGTTTGATGAATCAATTGTTATTCACTCCCATTAAAAGTTGTCAAAATGAGAAATGCTACACTATTAGACTCTAACTTTCATAAAAGAATAATTCAGAATCAGTGTTAAAATAGTCTTAAGATCCCGCTATATAGCATTCTCTTTAGTATCTTACGCTCCTGCTGTATTACATCTACTGTGCTTCTTACACAGTGTATAGTGCAGTATTTCTCAACCTTATCCACTTTAAAATGGATAGACTTCAACTCCCAGAATTCCTCTGGCTGAGGAATTCTGGGAGATGTAGTCCATGTATCTTAAATTTACTAAGGTTGGGAAACACTGATAAATTCACATATCGTATGCAAACGCTGCTGGGAATGGAGATGTAAAGGTCAACTCCAAAATATGCTATTAGACAATGTGGTGCATCTGACAATAAAACAAGGCAAGAAAAGAGTAAAAATGCTGTTTTACTGGTGGCAAAGAATTATGTAAAAGACTTTTCTTTATGCTTAGCATTGCTGTGTCTCTATAGTTCTACCTGTCAGAGAATAACGTGGGGCAAAACCGAGCTAAGGTTTCCCAGGAACATCTCTCCAAGTTAAATGACAATGTTGAGGTGATCCCTCACACCAGTGAACTGACAGAGAACTTCTTGGCTACTTTCAAGGTAAGACAAAGTTATGTTTCTCATGCCATGGAAGTGAGAAATATGGGAGAAGAAGCAATTTTAGTGATGCTAGAAGGAGGTGATGAAAGCTAACCATTACACAGGATCTGTCGTGTCCCTGGTGGAGACTGACTCTGAGGAAGAGGAGGAACAGCCAACAGGGAGTGGGAGTGTGTCTCCAGAGATGGTGGAGGAGGCTGGGGAAGGGCAGAAGCCGGCTGAGCAATCAGAGGAGGATCCAGGCCCATCCCCTATCCATCCTAGGGCACACAGGGAGGAGAGGATCAGGGAAAAGCATAGTCTACTCGGGAGGAGACTACCATGATCCTCCTCATGGGTTGCAGCTGTGAGCTCTGTATAAGAGTTTGGAACTGCGTGTTCACAGACGCTGAAATCAAATTAGTGCTTTCCTTGGATGAGGTTTATCTTTGTTGACGTTCTTCCCATGGACTCTCCCCACTTATCTTCCTGGAATGTGTGATTAATTATCTTGGTTTCCCCTGGAACTCTCGTCAATATGGTTTGTTTTTGGTTTCCTTTTGCTTCATTATCTACTTTTTGAATTTAAACTGTGACTAATAAAACAGTGAAGCTAAGTTGAAGGCATTGCAAGACCTTGATTTATGTTTTAGTTTTTGTGTTATTCAACCCGTAGTGTCATCACAGGATCTATCTGAATGGATGGAAGAATTTCTTTTTCTTCATCCTACAGTAGTAGCAAGCTTGTCAATCCATCTCAAATATTTCTGTCAGCTGTAACTTTATGGTACATTTCCCAAAAGAATTATAACATTTTGACTAGGAGTCGCACCTGACAATGAGTCGGAAATCTTCGGATAGATGTGTGGTGTATTCTTATCAGGCATTAAACGGAGAACATAAGTTTGGAGAATGTCCTCCCGGCCATTCTCTGTGTTTGGATATTCCTTAACGTGGCTTATGCTCTGAACCTCCACATCCAATGTATTCCAGGTTGTGGTCCTGACCAACTCATCCTTGAAGGAACAGCTGGATATCAGTGATTTCTGCCATGCCAACCAAATTTGCTTTGTCCTAGCTAACACAAAGGGCCTGGCTGGGTATGTATGGATGAATGGGTTGTCCTTTTTCTAGGAGGGGATCAAGGAGATGGAAAATTTACATAAATAATGCTGGAACATTGCAGAGGTAAATTTATTTTTGAATAGGAAGACCCTGTAGTTGAAAGTTACTGCTGGTCTGTATATTTGCTAGGTATTTCTAAGAGTGGCAACTAAGTTGAATGCATCATTTGAGGCATGGCTTATTTTTGCTTTCTCTTGACTCCAGACAGGTTTTCTGTGATTTTGGAGAAAACTTTGTGGTGTATGATCCTTCAGAAGCTGACCCTGCATCCGCTGCCATTAAACACATCACCTTGGTAACTTCCATCTCTGTGAAACAATGGCTGTTTTACTCAACATACAATCACATACTGTGCAAACCAAGTTAATGTCTTTTCACTGCCACTCTATTTTCTGAATTACTTTTCTACTTATAATTCTCTTCCTGCACCATCTCCTTTAAAACCTCATGGTTATTTTTATGAAGGGGTTATCAGGAGATGGTGTCTGATTTTGGTCAAGGGGAATCATCTAAACCAGTGGTCACCAACCAGTGAGCTGGGGATCACTGGGGGTCCATAAGAAAATTTTGGTGGTCCCCAGAGAAATGTCGCCCCCCAAAGCAATTAATCCAGGCTGCGCAGGAACACAAAGCTGTGCCGATCACATGGCCTGCGGGAACGTGCTTGTATTGTGAACAACACAGGGTAGTGAGGGGACAGGGAAAAGGTGTGGGGGGAACTTGCCTCCCTCGCCCCATGCACCTGGCCTGGCCACTGGGCTGCTTCTTTCCTCTTCTTTCTTTTCCTGCTTTTGGGTGCACGCAAGGAAAGCAGCAAAAGTCTTTTTTTCTCTCCCCCAAACTCCGCCAGCAATGAGTCTTTGGGACCATGCAAGGCATCCTGCTCCAAGAGGCTGCACTGGCAAAGACTCATTTCTGACGGAGTTTGGGGGAGATAAAAAAAGACTTCTGCTGCTTCTGCTGCTTTCCTTGCATGAAGCCAAAAGTCTTTCTCTCTCTTTCTCTCTCTCCCCCTGAGAATGGAGCTGGAGACGGTGTCCTGTGATTGGTAGGAAAATGGGGTGGGGAATTTTCCTCAGACTTTTTGGGGGTTTTTCCCAGGGTCTCTGGTCTGCGGGATTTAAAATTATGAGTTCGGTGGTTGGTGACCCATGATCTAAATGATGAATAACGTCATGAATGAGCGGCTTGTATTTATGTGAAATCCCAGCACATTCCCACTGGATGAGGAATTTCCATTTCCAAGCAACTATTCTGTCACAAGCTGAAAAGCGTAGGTGGGGCGGAGGTAAGCCAAGCTGATTTTTTTTTTGTATAGCTGGACTATTACTAATTAACACTTGTAAATTTTATTAATATTGCAAGGTCAACCTGGAGTGCATTTTATATTGGAATCCAAATGATTGGAGAGGAAATAGGTTGATCATGCTGATAGGGAAGATTCATAATTAATCTTGGATTTCTCTCTCTTATTCAGGGTAATCCTGGTCTCTTGACTGTGGCCCATGATGATGAGCAGGGACATTTCTTTATGGATGGTGACTGGGTGATGTTCTCTGAGATTGAGGGGATGACACAACTGAATGGTTCTAAGCCACGCCAGATTTGTGTGAAAGGTAACAGGGACTCTTCTTCTTTCCCTCCATGGCTTCATGTGTCTTTCTTATTTGAATGTGGAACGTGTTCATAGAGAACCGGAGCATTAATAGTGGAAATTCATCAAGAAGCTGAGCTGATGAAGGATATACAGGTAGTACTCGACTTACCACAGTTCATTTAGTGAACATTCAAAGGTACAACGGCACTTAAAAAGTGACTTATGGCTGTTTTTCACACTTACGACCATTGCAGCATTCCCATGATCACATGATCAAAATTCAGATGCTTGGCAACTGGTTCATGTTTATGACGGTTGCTGTGTCCCAGGGTCATGTGATCAGCTTTTGCAACTTCTGACAAGCAAAGTCAATGGGGAAGCCAGATTCACTTAATCTTGTTACTAATTTAACAGTTGCCGCATGGATGGGATTCAAAAATTCCAGCAACCAGTTTGCTGCCCGGGCGTAGTCATGGTGGGCGTGGCCTACCGGAAGTTCCTGTTTCCGGCTTCTGGTGGGACTCCAGAGCCCGGGAGGAGCCGTTTTTACCCTATCAAGGGTCCGGGGGCTTCTCCCGGGCCTCTGGAAGGGCAAAAATGGCCTCCCCGGGCTCTGGAGGCCCACCAGAAGCCAGAAACAGGCCCATTTCCGAACTTCCGGTACTTCCAGGAGGGCCTCTTTTTTTGCCCTCCAAGGGTCCGGAGGCCTCCCCTGGGACTCTGGGAGGGCGAAAACAGCCTCCCCTGGACTCTGGAGGCCACCGGAAGCCAGAAATAGACCCATTTTGGACTTCTGGAAGGCCTGTTTTTTCCCCCTCCCAGAGCCTCTGTTTGGACCCTGCACTTGCCTCCATTGAAAATGGGCCATGTGGAGACTGGGCCTGGGAGGGGTGGAACAGGGCAGGCAGGGCCAGCCGGTCGGTTGAAATACTGGTTTGGTGAACCAGATGTAACTTTAACATCCAGTTCACCCGAACCAATCCAAACCAGTAGAATCCCACCTCTGAGCTGCCACAATTCACTTAACAATTGTGGCAAGAAAAGTCGTAAAATGGGGCAAACTCAGTTAACAAATGTTTCACTTATCAACATAAATTTCTCGGTTCAATTGTGGTCGTAACTTGAGGACTACCTGTATAAGAGAAGAATGACAGAATAGTATAGTGGTGGTATTGAAAGGAAAATTAAGGAAAGTTGTGAGACTTCAATGTGGAGGTTTAAAATATTTGTCAGGAAACCAAAGCACTTCCAAACTCAGAAAAATCTGAATTTGCAAAGGCTACATTTTTACCAATTGAATTCACAAGTTTTTAATCTGACTCTGAAAATTAAACTGCTTAGGGTTAGGAACATGGTTAAACATGCACTTGGGGGCAGACCCTGAATCTTTTTGCTCTATTTTTAGGAAAAAACACCTTGGAAATTGGAGACACCTCTTCATTTTCCCCATACCAACATGGTGGGATCATCACTCAGGTCAAGATGCCTCAGAAACACTCCTATGTAGGTTGTCATTTCTGAACTATACATATGTGGGAATTTTGAAAAACGGACTTCTTCTTTTCAGGCTACTTTACAGAAAGGACTGATTCTTGAACAAGCATGTTGCTCTAGCTAAGAACTGTGAGATATACAGTGTTACTTCATAGGGAAGAGATTAAAATAAGCTTCCCTCAACTTTTTATCTTCCTGAGATTTTTAGACTATTGACCCTTTCATAATGAATTGAGACTGTACAGCCTCCAGTTGAAATGAAGCTGGGAGGTAGAGCGCCTGCTTGAGAAAAGTTAGTGTAAGCTGAACTTGCTTGCTTGTGATATAAAATTCTATGTAGGAAACTGTGCTGGCCAGCAACTCAGAGATATAATACATGCTGGATGCAGAAAATCTCAGCTTTACTCCAGGTTGAGTCAAGCTGGGAAAGATGTCTGTCTTAGCTCAACTTAAAAGTCACTCTAGATCAGGGGTCCCCAAACTTGGCGACTTTAAGACTTTTGGACTTCAACTCCCAGAATTTGCTGGCTGGTGAAGTCTTAAAGTTCACAAGTCTTAAAGTTGCCAAGTTTGGGGACCTCTGTTCTAGATCAATGGCACATTTATCAATAGTGACATGTAACAGAATGATTCCCATCTTCTGATCTTAAAACACACACACACACACATACACATACATGAGAGAAAATGGTAGAGCATCCCTTTCCCAGTGGAGAGTATTGAGGCAAAACAAGCTAAGCATCTCATTCTCTTTCCTGGAGTTCAGGATCGGCTCACTGTCTGAAAGGTTGGGGATAGTTAGTGCTCTCTCTCTCTCTCTTTGTATATATTGTGTGGTTTGTACTTAGGATAAAATGGTAAATGCATTTCAATGGTAAATGCAGGCTGAGCCCCATGTCTTGATCATTGTACAACTATATCAATAGAAATGAACATCAACAAAAATTTTCCATTTCTTTATCTACTTCAAAAATACCAAAGCTCAGCCAGTCCCCAACTTTTCCGGTCCTGTGGATCAGCACTGGGGGAGGGGGTGGCAGGGCAGGGGAAAGAAGTGATGTTTTCATGTGTGTGTCTTCCACTTGTGCAAATGGAGTTTCACGCGCGTGCTCGCCCACTGCTTGCACAGTCTGGTTCCTGACGGCCCGATACCAGGCTGCAGACCGGATTTGGGGATCCCTGCCATCCCTGATAAGTGTTAATAGTAATTTGCTAGTATATAATTTCTTGTAAAAGAGGGCTTTTTGTCTCTGTCTTTAGTTCTTCATTACGGTGATGTTGGATTTAAAATTTAAAAATCTGAGACTTGCTGGGGCAGATGTTCCTGAGCTAGCTAGGCTTCACATATTCTTTTTGCAGGAAAACACTTTCTTGAGATATGGTATCTGAGAGAACGGATGTATTAATAGATAGAGCTTTCCCTGTTTGCTTATTTCTTGATATTCCTAGAAGTCTCTGCGAGCCTGCATGGCTAATCCGAAGTTCAACACCCAAGATAGTAAGAAAATGTTTCGTTATCATACTCTTCATGCAGCCTTCCAGGCACTTCACACATTCCAGAATAAATATGGTCGACTGCCTAGCCCTCAGAATCAGGTAGGTCTGGCCTACCTACCTATCCAGCTATTTACTTTTTTCCCTTTCCTTTCCCCAGCCAAATCTTTTCTTCAACCCCAGTAATTATTCCTTGGCAGGAGGATGCAGACATGTTAGTTGAACTGGTGAGGATCCCAGCTATGGATCAGGAACAAGAGAATCTGATACGGACGTTTGCGTATGGATGTATGGGAGACCTGAGCCCTATGAATAGCTTTATTGGAGGCCTTGCTGCCCAAGAAGTCCTAAAGGTGAGTGGCAGAGCTTTAACAACAGGCAGAGGTGGACTGACTGATTTGATTGCTTTTTTTAAAAAAAGATACAAACAGTAATTGAGCATCAACTAAAATATGGTTTTAAAAAGAAAATGAAAACAAACAGGAAAGGGAAATAATGAAAATGAAAGCAATGAAATGAAATGAAAGCAAAATGGCAAAAGGAAAAGGGGGGTTGGGCTAGATGACCTACAAGCAGGGGTGGGGTTCAATTTTTTTAACAACTGGTTCTGTGGGCGTGGCTTAGTTGGTGGTCATGTTATTGGCTGGGCGTGGCCAACTCAATATCACTCACATCGAGGCATGAATCTCCTTACCTGGCCTCTCATGACTGGGGATGCTGCAACAGTCATAAGTGTGAAAAATGGTCATATCACTTTTCAGTGCCATTGTAACTTTGAATGGTCACTCCACACAAGCAAAGTACCAGCAAAGGAGGGGAAAAAACTCCAGATAAGCTCCTGAGACAGGAAGTCTAGTCCTGCCAAGAATGTAATAAGGGTTAACAGAGGAGAGGCAGTTTCTGTAAGCAACACCAGAATGTTTCCTTCCTGCCTTCCTTACAGGATTAGGCCAGTAATTTCTTCTAACAACCGGTTCTCCGAACTGCTTAGAATGTTAACAACCGGTTCTAGCGAATCGGTGCGAACTGGTAGAATCCCACCCCTGCCTACAAGGTCCCTTCCAACTTTGTTAATCTGTAATCTATACAATAGAAAGTGAGCATTTTGGAATATATGTATACTAGTATGGAGAAGTACCAAGAATTTAAACGTCCTTACTCATTGTAGCTAATCCTCCATTTAACCAATTAATGGGGGAAGAGGAAGAATGTCAATTCAAGATGAAAACCTATTGAACCAAGGATTTATTCTCATTCTAAGGACAAGTAGAACAAGACTTATGAGTAGGGTAAATCTGGTCTGTGTTACCCCCTTTTCCTCTCTTCAATAACTCTTAGCCCAGCATTGCATCAGTGCTCTCCTTCTCTTCTCTGCTCTCTTAGCTGCTGCTAGTGATATCACAGTATGGCATACAGCTGGTCCTTGGTTAATGACAGTAATTGGGAACAAAATCTCTGTTGCTAGGCAACGTGGCCATAAAGTGTGATGTCACATGACTTTAGCGCTTAGCAATCCCTTAGCACCTGCCTGAGGCACCCCATGCTTCTTACCTTACTGCACTGACTTTCCACTTTCTGCTTTGCTTTCTGCTCCTTCTTGTCTTTGGGGGCCGGCTGAAACAGCTGCCTGCTGAAGGAGTTCAGCTCCCCTCCATATATATGGAAGGGAACTCTTTCTAGAGTCTGGACCGTTATTAAGTGAATGGTCATAACACAGAAGCTATCTGTAGTACCAAAAAATTCTATCTACTATGGGAATTGTAGTCCACATACCATCTACAACCATTTCCCATAGATATTCCTGATGGATTTCAATTTTATGTGTGTGGTATTAATAATATTACATTAAACTGAATTTTTATCACATAATAATAGGAAACATTGTTGTGCCCACATCTTTTAATCATTAAGGACATTTTATTGAGCGTTAAGGAAATTCTGCTATTTGAATAAAAAGCCAGTGGTCCAGTGATTTTTTTAAAACACACACCTGGATTTGGTAATCCCAGGTTCAGGTCCTCACTCAATGGTAAATTCACTCTCTCTCTTAGCATAATAAATATCATAAACCGATTTCAAGGTTAAAACGAGAGAGGGAATATTAGATATCCTGCCTTGAGCTCCTGGAGATTATACCCAATGTAGGTTATACCCACAATAATTAATAATCATGCTAGAGATATCTGATATAAAGTGTCAGCTTTAAAAAGCTATAAATTGGGAAGTAGCTTTTACCTCTTTGGGGAATAATTCAATGTGTGCCCTAGGCAAGACAGTCTTTTTCAACCTCAATATTCCTCATGTGCAAAAAAAAGTAGAGAAACATACTATTGACTTAACTTACATGATTCTTGAAAGGATTAATTAATACAACACACAAAGTGCTTTGCATGTGTGAGGGCAGAATATAATATTAGGAATAACTATGAAGTCTTACAGGAAGTCAATGAAATAGTTCTGAAGCTGCATGAGAAGTTTTCCGTCCATTGTAATGGTTCTGCTAATCACTTTGTAGCTGCACCTAAAAAAGTTGTCTTGGGCTTCCCATTGAGAATTGCAGGTACTCTACTTGCTTCGGACCCAGTACTGAAATTCAGCTTTCTGACTGCCATTAAGTAGCTTTGTACTGCGTTTGCCAGTGAAGGATGTCCACTATTTTTTTTTTTTAAATAGAGGCGTGATTAAGCAAGTTCAGCTCCTTTCAGTATGGACATATCTTTTAATGTTCAAGATGTTTCTTTCATAATATTTAGCCATAATTTTGGAGCCAGGTAACATGATACTTCTTTCCGGATCAGCTTGTGGTGTGTTTTTCCTCCTTCTTCATCTGGAGTGGTGGACTCACAGATCCTCTATTGCAGCAGTCTCCGATCTTTCTGGCTCTGCGGGTCAGCAGTGACAACAGTGGTGTGTTAACCATTAAGCAGACTAAGCACGTGCTTAGGGCACCAGGCCCAAAGGGGGGCACCACAAAGTTGAGAATATGGCTTCGTTTGTACAGTATGTACAAAGGACGGGGGGGGGGGCGCCAAGATTGGTCAGTGCTTAGGGCACCAGTGAGCCTTAATCCGCCACTGAGCAGCCGGGCAGGCAGATGGTGGCAGTGAAGGAAGGGGATGGTTTCATGTGTGCAGATGGAGCTTCACATGCCTGCCCACCATTTTTGTGGCCCGGTTTTCAATGGAGCATAGACCAGTGCCAGTCCACACACCGGAGGTTGGGGACCCCTGCTCTCTAGCATGAGGGCATGTATAAAAGCTGGATTTTTCTAATCTGAGAACTCAACTAAGGAAGATGTATATACTACTCATAGATTGGCCAAGCTGTTGTTAAGAAAGATGACAAAGGCTATTTAATGTTAATTTTTTACTTCTCACACCAGCATAGTTTTTGCTTTGACTCTAATTAAACTCTAACCATCTACCAAGCAGAGAGGGGTTTTCTGTCCTAACTGGAATGGATTACAATATATGGAATGAATTTCAAATTAATGGAGCGACTTTCCTCCAGAAGTTGTGGGTGCTTCTTCACTGGAGGTTTTTAAGAAGGGGTTGGGCAGCCATTTGTTCAGAATAGTATAGGGTCTCCTGCTTGGGCAGGAGGGGTGGACTAGAAGTCCTCCAAGACCCCTTCCCACTCTTGTTATTCGTTATTCTATACAGTGTTATAAAATCTAACTGGATGAATGTTTTGCTCATCATTTATAAAATGTCCACCAGATGGCAGTTTATGCTTTTAAACCGTTTTTCAAAGAAAGATGAGAAGCTGAGCGCTCTCTGTTTCCCTCAGTTGCACCAGTTAGAAAGAAGTCAGAGAAGAGAGGAGAAAAATCTTCCTCCAGAGACCCTTGTTTAGAAAGGTGGCCACTTAAACCTCACCCCCAAAAGAGGAAATGCATCTCAAGAAAAAAACGTGCTGATTTGCATCATACTGTACATGCTAATTTATAATTAAAGCTAATCAGTACAATATTTTAAACAAAACTGTAATATATTTTACCACAGCAGAAAGATTACAGCCACATGATAGATGAGCAGCTTGAAGGCTGTTCCTTCTTTTACAATGGAAAACATTCTTAATACACAGAGTAATAAGAGACATGATCCTCTTTTGCCTAGGCTCGATTTGCACCTCGGCAGATAGTTATGCCGGCCACATCACCATGGACGTGTCTTCAGACAAAGCTGGCTGCCTCGGCTAAGAAAGGGAGATGAGCCCCCTCCCTCTGGAGTTGGACTCGACTGACAGGGGAAACCTTTCACCTTCACCTTTATCCTGGGCCTAAAGGCCTTCACTGTATGCTCTCTCTCCTATATGTCCATGACATGTTTTCAATTGGCCATAAGGTTCATACTTTGAGAGGAAGAGAAAATAGCTATAAATAAACGCTTTATCGTGTACTCATGTTTGCATATAGGTTGTCCTTAACTCAAGACTAGTTGTTTAATAACGGTTCACAGTCAACGATGGCTGTCGTAAAATGTTGCATCGCGTTCTTGGCTCCTGGCAACTTGCCCACATTTAAAACTGTTGCCAAGTGCTGTACGATCGTGTGACGGCCATTTGCAATCTTCGCTGCCAGCTTCCTCAGTAAGTCATTGAGGAAACCAGCAGGGAAAGTCACAAGTGAAGCGGGTGTTGGATTTGAGGTCCAGTGCTCTGAAAGACTTCCATTCTCCTTCAGGCAGGGAAGGAAATTCTCATTGGGCTCTGGATCTCAAATCAGATGAAAATATTAGCAAACAGCATCATTTTCACAACTGTTCTTTCCGTGAGTGAGAGACAGGATTTGGGCCTCCTGTGTGTAATGGCTGCACCATGCCCAGGAGATCTGGGTTCTCTCCCTGGTGCTTCACTTAACAACCACAACTGGATTCTGGTTATTAAGCAAAGCAATTGTGGCATCTTGCTTAATGACCGCTTCACTCAATGACCAAGATTCCAGGCCCAATTGTGGTAGTAAGTCAAGGACTACTTGTAAGGCTAAATGTTCTCCTCTTAACACCTTGTCTTACTGCATGCTTCCTACTTTCTGAGAAGCAAAGTTCGGTCAGTGTAAATGTAATTATAAGACACACTGAGACTTAGGAAACCTCTGATTCAGACTTACTTCTGAAGGGCCTTTTGCAAATGATTACGAGGCAGCTTCTGATTCTACCAGATAAATGGCACAGAGCAGCTTTTCCGCCTTTATCTGTTTAATATCTTTTTGTGAAGATATCTTTTTGGAAGGAGCTTTTGGAAAAAAACAGGAGAGTTAAGAAATGGGATGGTGTCTCACCATTACAACCTGGGTAAAATTCCATAAAGGAGGCAGACTGATTGCACAAAAGACAATTCATCAAGATGCAACCCAAGACCTTAGCTTTTATCTTTTATGAGTTGATAAGAGGTTTGTTGAAGCCCTTACTCAGAGCTCTGACACATACTGACTACCGAAAGTCAAAATATATTGGTAACTAAATAGCTAAAATCTGGCCAGCTGTATTACTAATCACAAGTTATGTCAGAGCACCTGAAGGGAAAAATCACTTGGGATTTTTCTAGCCGTTGTATAGATATGTCAAACGACGGAATGAATTAAAGGATGTAACAATCATAAGACTCTCCTACTACAATGGCCGAATGTTGACTTAAAATAGAAGAAATGTATAAGAGAGTTTAAGGATCAGGATTGGGATGATCCTTAGCTTGCCAGACAAAATGTGATTGATTACAATCTTGAGCAAGAATGAGTAAGAGGAGCAATCTCATACTCTCCTTTATTGATATTTAATTTACCAGACTAAAACCATGGAAACTTAAAAGGTGAGTTTGGGCTTGTCACTCTCTCAGCAAACCTCAGATTTTTTGCAGTCATCACAATGAAGGAAATCTCCATGTAGGGTGTCTTGTGCTTCTAGAAGAAATACAGGCTGGATATAAGTCTAATTATTTACATCTAGTACAGTCAAATTATGTTTCCCTGTAATATATCCTCTCTGAATTGCAGTCTTCTTACACATAAGTGACTCCCTCCAGCTATCATTCTCTGTTAGGCTTTCTTTCTTTCTCTTGTGTCTACAATCCTGGCTCTTCAGTTCTCCAGTCCTGGGATTTCCCAATTTGATTCATGCTAAGCCATAATATGGTTTGCGTAGGTTTTCTTTGGAATATTTGGTTAGTATGATATGTGAAAACGCCATTGTAGTTTGCAGACAATGACAGTATGATATTATTATGCTTGGTTGCACAGTCAGACAATTATTTAGATTGGTTTCAGCGTTTGTGTCCACCTAAGGACCTGGGGCAGGCAAATATTGTTATTTGATAGTGTTAAAGATATCATTGCAGGATGTAAGGTGTTCCAAGCAAGCTTGTCTTTTGCAATTGACTGATGGTGATCTTTGTCAAAGCCCATGGTTTTCAAGTGGTGCTCCCCATTTTGGGGGATTGCACTCCAGACACATTTTGGTACTATCTTTGTTTTCTTTTACCATAATCATTCAACTGTTTCCAACACTGGGCAAAGGCAATCCTGGCAGCAGTCAGTATGTGTAATAATAAGTATTTTGTACTCTTTACATATTTTTTTTGAAGATCCCCAATAGGAAGAGTTCTGGTTCTAGGTCTAGTTGTTCATTGGTGATTTCTTGTAGCCAATTTTGAATTTTGAGCCAGTACTTTCGAGCCTCTGGGCAAGACCACCACATATGATAATATGTTCCCTCTTTTTTTTTTTTACATTTCCAACATATGGAACTCATTTTAGGGTACATTTTCGCTAATCTCGAAGGGGTAAGTGCCGCCTATAGAACATTTTATATGCATTTTCTTTGTATGTTACTGATTTTGTTAATTTGTGGTTTCTATTCAATACAGTCTCCCACTCTGATAACTTTATGTTATGACCAATATTTTGACCCCATGTGATCATGCATCCTTTCACCACTTCTTCTAATTCTACTTCTAGGAGATACTTGTAAATTTTGGTAATATTTTTTTATCTGGGCCTAATAAAATTTTGTCTAATTGTTGAGGTTTCAAGTATATTCCATACTCCTTTACATCCTTTTTATATTGACTTTGTATTTGAAGGTAAGCCCACCAGTCTACTTGTAGCCCTTGTTCTTGGAGCTCCTGTATTGTTTTTAAATTTCCATTTGTATCCAATAAGTCTTTATATTTTAACATTTTGTTCAGGTCTAAATTATTTGGGTGGATCTTCTATTTTACTTAAGGCTTGGTCTTGTGCAACCGAATTCACCCCATCTCTTTTCTTCAACTTTCCTGCTCTTAGCCATTATCAGGTCTTCTTGTTTTTGTTATTAAAATATATTATTAAAAGATCGGGGAGGGAAATTAGACCTGAGCACATGTAGTTTAAAAAAATCTCATTAGGTAGAGTGTGTTAAGTTTCAAACTTGCCTGTATCCCTTTTGGCCGTATGATTTTCACTCAGATGGACAGTGCACATTGCCCCAATAGACAACATTCATGACAAATAACCTCCCTAAATGAAACAGGGAATGGGAATAGATTGTATACTGTGTGTAATAATATTGATAATACATATGTAAAGGAAAGAATACTTTAATAGAATTTAATATTGCTCAGTATGATAGGCAGTAGTGTGTGTATTATTCAGGGGCAATGCCAAGGCCTTTGCGGTTATGCCTTCTGTAACAAGATTCGGACTGACGAGGCTTCATCACACAAGGCCCTCCTGGATTCAGAGACCATTCTCAATAAAGTACCATAACTGACCATTTGTTGCAAGTGACAAATGCAGAAGGCTGGATTAAAGATTATTTGAATTGCATAGAAATTAATTTCATGTAGGATGACTCCAGAGCAGAGGTCTTCAAACTTAACAACTTTAAGACTTGTGGACTTCAACTCCCAGAATTCCTCCTCCAGTCTTGTTAGCTCAGGAATTCTGGGAGTTGAAGTCCACAAGTCTTAAACTTGCCACGTTTGAAGACCCTTGATCCAGAGCTTAGGAGCTCAATCTGTCTTGGGTTGATAGCGACTGTAAGCTTTTCATTTTTTTCCTTTTCTTAAAGTAATTTATTTTCTGCCTGTTGCAATATAGATGAGCTCCTCTGTCAAGTTCCTGGATGAATTAGTGCTCAACAAGATTAGTGAAGTGACTAGAATGGTGAAGAAGTACCAATCTTCCTATTCCTTGAGGGGCTTTTGTGCCTTTAACAGTTGAATAGAAGACCAAAACATGGATGTTTTTTTCTGAATAATGAGACGGAATAAGCAAAAAACATAGCCTACTGAAACTGGGCCTGCTTTGCAGCATAAGATATAGATGTGTTGTACTCCGGCTTTCACCGTGTTCATTATAATCTTTTGCTTGAGCAAAGCTTCTATGTTATTTTTCTTGCAGGCTGTCTCGGGGAAATTCACCCCTTTGGATCAGTGGCTGTACTTTGATGCTTATGAATGCCTGCCTGAGGGGGATCAGCTGACAGAGAAAAACTGTGCCCCAGTGAGTAGTTACATTCTGTAGTTTGCCTTTTTATCCAAACTATTCAGGTCTGACCCATCACAGCTCTGTTTAGAAAGGTTTCCACTGGTGGCTGTCCGAAACATTGTCATCTCTTCTCTTCCATGATGCTGAATTTCATAAAGCTGGCTAACTTAGACTTTCTGAGAATGCCCTTGGGAAACTGGGCTTGTTTCATTTTGCCTCCGGTCTGGAATGTTCTAATGCTTGCCATCTCTGTCTGACAGTGTGACAGTCGCTACGATGGGCAGATTGCTGTCTTTGGGGCTGACTTCCAAAAACGACTTGGGAAGCAGAAGTATTTCCTGGTGAGTAAGGCATGCAACTCCTGTGGACCACATGAAGCAACATTCTTACCGCACACTAACTAGGTTCATTATAATGTGTGTATTTGGTTTGGGCAAATTATGCTGTGTGCTAAGTTCCTATTTTTGTTGTCTGTAGTCTCTCCAGCTCTCATTTATCTTATCTTATCTGGACCCACAGAGGTCATTTGGAATAGCTGTAGATCTACCAAATGACCTTTGTGGGTCCAATAATAAAAACAAAAGAAAATTTCTTTTGATGAGCTAATTTCCCATTGCAGGACGGGAAACCATGTATTCACCCAGCAGCTGTTGAAAGAGAATGGATAAACCTTGGGTGCCTTTTCTTCCAGTTTTTCACAGCAGAGGGAGCATTTTATCATTTTTAGCCTGAGAGTGGGCACAAAAGGAAGAATTATTATTTTTATGTGATGAGGCTTAGATCCTTCAGCTGTTATTGGTTTTGTTGGGTTCTGTTTGTTTGCTTTTTGGTGGTAGTGGTAACTTATCATTTACTGGTGGAACTGCTGCTGTAGATAACAGATTTTATCCTAATTAACAGATTCCTGATTATCAAAGAAAGACTCCAGATGTTGAAACTATTCCCATTAGATAATGGGACAAAATTATTATAGCAATGGTAATAAACTCTTAGATTATAGCATATCACTTTTTGCAAATGTGAATACAAAGATTTATCGAAAATTCAGCATTGATCCCTAAGTATTTTAGACCAGGAAAGAAGCAAACAAGCCTAAAAAGATTGACATTGATCAAATCTCTCGTATCCATGAGAATATGAATGAATGATGAATGAATTCTTTATTGGTCAGGTGTGATTAGACACACAAGGAATTTTTCTTGGTGCATATATTTTTGAAAAATAGGAACCAAGATATATTATTTCCAGATACATTCATGTTCTGCAAAATCTTTCCTTTTCTTCATTTGCTTGACTCTGTTATTGAAGGGAGTGTGTGAGATCACCACTATATAACAGGCTTCGTGCTGCTGAGTCACATTCTGGTAATCCTGGACTTCACAGCCATTTTAGAAACAGCTGGTAAATAGTTGATTTATAAGATAAAAGAGGGTTGGGTTGATATTGCATCCCGGTTTTACTCCTTTTTCCTGTTTTAAGGCCCTTGCATAGTTCTTATATGTTTTACACAATAGATGAATTGGAATATGGATCCTACGAATTTGTGGAGTTTCCTGTCTGTGCTTATTCCATGGCAAAATTAAGAGTTAGTCTAGCATACCAGCTATAATAGAAACGTACTAAAATCATGTGTTTCTCATTGGATTTTTTAGATTTTGGACTAATTGATATCTGTAATATAAAATGTGATCAGGAGTTCTATTTTCAAAATGGGAGAGTCATTTCTATCCTCCTCCCAGAATTGCATTCAGAAAGTTTTTGGACTTTGATAGCAATTTTCTTGTGTGAATACTTCTGTCCAGGCTTTGTAATTGCCATGCATGTTTTATTGAAATTACATGAGGATTAGGCTAATGGTATGCAGATGGAGAAAAGATACATGGGAAGGTGTGGGTAAGAACAACCATATATACAGTAATTTGAGACGCTATCTCCAGTTTCTGATATTGTTCCAAAAATGTCATGGGGTTCAAACAGTCTTACTTCTGTAGGTAGGAGCAGGGGCAATTGGCTGTGAACTCTTGAAGAATTTCGCAATGATTGGCTTGGCTGCTGGCGAGGGTGGGGAGATCACTGTGACAGACATGGACATCATTGAAAAATCCAACCTGAACAGACAGTTCCTTTTTCGACCACAAGATGTATCTGTAAGTCATGCGGACAAGAGGGCAGGGGGAAAAATTGGGAGAAGGAAGAGTGGTAACTTTAGAAACTGAGATTTGCTGAGATCAGAATACTAGCAAATTGATTTTTAATATAAATGAAGAAAACCTGTTTTCTGACCTGACTTCTATTTCTGTTCTTTGGTCAATGACCAATTTTAATCCTAGATCTAAACATGTGTCCTTTGTTTCTGTAGAAGCAGAAGTCAGAAGTGGCTGCAGCTGCCGTAAGACGTATGAATCCCAACATCAATGTAATAGCTCAGAAAAATCAGGTTGGGCCTGACACAGAACACTTCTATGGGGATGACTTCTTCCTGGGCTTGGATGGTGTAGTCAGTGCCTTGGACAACTTTCAAGCCAGTGAGTCCTTCAGTCATTATGGGTATGAGTCTCCCAGGGTCAAGTGTTCCAGTGTTCCATGACATCATTGCTCCTGGATAAATAGGGAAGTCAACTCTCTAATTCCACCCATCATCACCAATGACCATATTGTACTGACTGGGAATTTGAAAGTAGTAACCCCAGTACATCTGAGACATTCCAGTTTGGAAAATGCTTGTGTGTGTGTGTATACATATATACATACATACATGCATACTTACATACATACATATATACACACACATGCATACATACAAGCATTTTCCAAACTGAATGTTTCAGATGTACTGGGGTCATAATAGTTAAAGCAGCAGTTTTTTCCTGCAAGAACGTATGGCTATCGAAGTTATATGTACAGAAAGAGAGGGAGAAAGAAGATAGAATAATAATCTAGGGATCCTTTGCGCTCTCTGAGTTTGGTTGTTTTCTTGCAGATGTTTCATTACCCAAGCTAGATAACATCATCAGTGCTAGAATGATAAATTTGGAAACTATTGCTAGAGGTTCCATGAACTGCAAGAAAATAATAATAAATTGGCTATGGACCAAATAAAAACTGACTACACCTTTGAGACAATGACCAACAAGCAGAAACCCAACTATTTTGGCATGGGATCGGGGTTGATGTTTGACTGTATCTTTCTCACACACACACACTTACACATATCCCTGTTAAACTTGGGAAGAGGAAGGAAAAACAATGTATCAGGTGGTTGGACAGTCAATTACTGCAAAAAATTATTTGAAGACCTCTGGGATTTTTATTGGACGCAGATTGGTGAGCATTGTCTATGGAGTCATTAGGAGTCAAGGCTGAATTGAGGGCACGTAAATAATCAACTTAAATTTGCATAATATTTATCCATCAGTCAAACCATGATTTAAAATATTCAAAACATGACCTTACTAAGGAATGCATATTTCTAAATTTATAGCATTTATAGTTTGGATTTTGTTTTGTTTTTCTTCTAGTTCTCTGCTTCAGAGAATGAGGGAAGATATAAAGCAATCAATTCTATTTTTGCCTTCAACTTTGATTTCCTCAAACTTTCAAAGGGAAGTGACTTCAGCAAGCCATAAATGGTTCTTCTTGTGTTCCCTCACCTCTTTCTCTCCTAAGAGTTAGTTAGCTGGAGATTAAAACATATGAAGAACTGTTGCAGGATTTGGATTTGGCTAGTCTAGAGAAAAGAAGGACTAGGGGTGATATGATAGCAACGCTATCATATTTTTGAAGGGCTGCTACAAAGAGGAGGGGGTCAACTTATTTACCAAAGCACTTGTAGGCAGGACAAGAAACAATGGGTGGAAAACTACAGTAATAAAAGACAGAAGCAACTGGAACTAAGGAGAAACTTCCTAACAGTAAGGACAATTAACCAGTGGAACAGCTTGCCTTTTGAAGTTGTAGATGCTTCATCACTGGAAGCTTTTAAGAAGAGACTGGACAATCACTTGTCTGAAATGGTAGAGTGATTTCTGCTTGAGCAGGCAGTTGGAGTAGAAGACCTCCAAGGTCCCTTCCAGCTGTGTTCTGATTGACTGATTGGAGCTATGGAAGCAGAATCACCCAAAAAGGTGTGCAACACTTTAGGCTCCCCTTTTTTCTTTCCCCTGCAGGAAACCATGTCGGCGAAAGATGTGTGCACTACCTCAAGCCTTTGCTTGATTCAGGGACTGATGGCACCATGGGAAATGCCCTGGTCTTTGTGCCTTACCTGACAAAGACCCATGGACATATTCAGGATGGGGACGGTAGAGACTTCCCTCTCTGCACTCTGCGCTATTTTCCCAGCAACATCCAGCACACCATTCAGGTATAAGTCCACGCTACTCTTTCTTCTGCCCCTCATCAACCCTGCAGCGTCTGCTCCAAGGGGATGTTCTCCCTTCCCTTTTCTCTCCAGTTGAGCCATCCTTGAAAGAGGGGAAACTCCCTTCTTCTGCCCGGCCCTTATAGCTTCATTTACTGTTTCCAGGCAGCTGGGCAAAAACTAGGATGGCTGTTAGTGATGTGATAGGGTCCAGAGATAGGGTCCAGCTGTTTCACCCATAGGCTAAGCCCAAATTCTTTACCTCAAGCCCATCTTCAGCTGTTTCTTCCCAGTTCGCAGAACAAAGGCAGCAAGAGCAGGCCTTTCCAGATTTCAGGACCCCGAGGCTTTTCATGCCCCTACTCGATTCCCCTTCGCCTCCAATGGAGGAAATTCCTGTCTGGCCATCTGATTGCAAAGCCCTTTATATTTAGATCAGAGGAGTAAATGCCTGGTTTAAGGGATCTGTAGTCTACGTTGGCCCAGTTAGCCCCAGGGGTGGGATCCTACCGGTTCGGTCCGGTTCTATAGAACCGGTAGCTCCGAAGAACAGCTGACACTGAACCGGTTCACTGGGATGAGGTTTTGGTCTGCTGTTTGGCCCACCCACCTGCCCAGGCTCTAGGCTGTCCTTTAAGTGGCTGTGTTTTCCTCCTCAGCTGCTTTGCGCGGCACAGCTGAGTGCCGCTCGCCAACTGGAGAAGGTAAATGCTTGCCGGAGCCAGTAGTGCGCACGTGTGTGCAGCACCCATTTGACACGCATGCACACGCTCCCCAAGCCGGTAGTTATGCTGGTCAGATCCCACCCTGGTTAGCCCCCAAAATAGTGGCAGGCAAGATACTCAGAGGCTGCTGTCCAGGACTTGCTATTTGGGAGTGCATCTTGCAGATCATAAGTGCTCTTGCTTCTGAGTCAATGCACAGGCTTAATGCAAAATAGATTCCTGAACCCACCTCACCTCCATCTTTTGCAGTGGGCCCGAAATCAATTTGAGGATCTTTTCAAAAGAAGAGCAGAGGACACTAACAAATTTCTGAGGTGAGTGAAACTCTAGATCTTGTGAAAGATGGAATTCTGGATAAATATTCTCTCTGTGTGTGTAAGAATCATGAATGGGTAGTGTTGGGGATCAAGGTGATGTTTTATTCTACTAGCAGGGGGAGGGGATGCTTAGTAGATACTTTATCATTAAACAATAGTTGTTCTTAGAATAATTAAACAAGGAGATCTGATTGTTTTGAGAGGCCTGTGGATATTTTAACCACAAAATTGGTGCAGATTTCTTATACTTAAGAGATAAAACAGCTCAATACTTTCTTTAGTCCAACCACAGTGTGTACTTCTAACTCCAGGGATCCCACCTTCTTTGAGAAAGAAGGCATGGAAACTTGGGAGATGCTGAATCAAATGAAGATGAGTCTTAAGGAGCAGCCACACTGCTGGCGAGATTGCGTGGCCTGGGCCCGGAAACTTTGGGAGCGTCTTTTCTGTCACGACATCCTGCAGTTGCTGTACAACTATCCACCTGAACATGTGAGGCGTGAGCATATCCTTTTTACCCTCAACTACTTCCTAGCTTCTTGTCCAGCACAGTGCAGCAAATGAAGTGCGAATGGCTCAAGATCAAGGGAGGATCCTCCTACTGCCCTTCTTTGGACAGAGTACACATTTCTCTTGCAGAGGCTTCCAACTTAATCAAAACTCAATTCCAGAAAGGGCTGGTCTCCTCTTGGAGGCATTGCTTCTTCAGACTTACCCTCCGCAAATATTTACTCTTGCTGCTTCTTTGGGTAGGAGCCCATGGTCATAAAATATCTCATTACACCCTAGCTGAAGATCTTGAAAATAATTCGCCTGTAGTTTTTCAGACTGGCGACAAACTTCAGAAGAATAAGAACCTAATAGGATCTAAATCAAATGGCAAACAGTAATTAAGAGTCCACAGAGAGAGAAGTAATACTGTATATTCGAAGCAGAGAGTCCAGATGTTCAGGCTAAGGATTCAACCTAGAACAGTTTCTATAGTAGTCCTGCACGTCGTGCTCTTCCTCTCATTGTGGTGAAGCAAAATTCACGGTAGCCATTCCCTTTCTATGTAGGATGTTTCAGTAGTACGGAAAGAGCCCTCTTCCCATATTTCCTAATACAGATTATCTGACTCCTTCTGAGAAGATTAAAAACAATCTGCCCTGTATGTAGTTAATACATAATTAATGTGTTAGTAAGTGTTAATACCACTTTATGATGCCTTGATAAGGCCACACTCGGAATACTGCATCCAGTTTTGTTTACCACGGGGTAAAAGAGATGTTGAGACTCTAGAAAGAGTGCAGAGAAGAGCAACAAAGATGATTAGGGGACTGGAGGCTAAAACATATAAAGGATGGTTGCTGGAACTGGGTATGCCTAGTTTGATGAAAAGGAGGACTAGGGGTGACATGACAGCAGTGTTCCAATATCTCAGGGGCTGCCACAAGGAAGAGGGAGTCAAGTTATTCTCCAAAGTATTTGAGGGCAGGACAACAAGCAATGGGTGGAAACTAATCAAGGAGAGAAGCAACTTAGAACTAAGGAGAAATTTCCTGACAGTGAGCTCAATTAACCAATGGCACAACTTGCCTTCAGAAGTTTTAAAGAAGAGATTGGACAACCATTTGCCTGAAATGGTATGGGGTCTCCTGCCCCTGAGCAAGGGATTGGACTAGAAAACCTCCAAAGTCCCTTCCAACTATTCTGTTTTATTCTAACAATCGTTTATATCCATCTCCATCAGAGGTGGGGTTCAATTTTTTTTTACTAGCGATTCTGTGGGTGTGGCTTGGTGGGCCTGGCAGGGGAAGGATGCTGTAAAATCTCCAGTCAGAGCTGGTATTTGCTGGTTCTCCAAACTATTCAAAATTTCCGCTACCGGTTCTCCAGAATTGCTGAATGCCACCTCTGATCTCCACGTAATGGTGGTGGCATAATTTTGCAAGTGGTGTTAACTATAAATAGAAAATAAAATGAAGCATTTTTCAGCCTTGCAGGAGCGCACACGCTCTATAAAAAGAACTTGTACTGCTTCTTTGTTCTTTTAGTTATACTAATACCTAAAACACAGAAAGTGATTTTCTTGGCTTGGCTGAGAGGAAAATCAAAAGAGGGAATCAGAGGGAATTACTGTACATTTTTTTGTGGAAACCCAGATGCTTAATGTAAAGGTGGCTTCTTTGATATCTGTGTATTGCGCTCAGGATTGAAAATGCCATTGAAGGATTACTGTATCTGAATTATAATACACATTTTTTTCATGGCTTTTCATAGATTCAAGAAAGGGTAAAAAAAAAAAAAGCTAAGGCCCCATTTTATACATTCAACTTTGGTAGCTCCACAGCTTCAGCTGCAGGTTTCATTGCAGTTTCATTCCCCATTTTTCCCCACTGTGTACATTATGTTACTGAAAGTGATACTACGATGGTTATATGTGTCCATTTTTGGATGATAAAGCATCGTTCTTCTATATAACCTTTTTTTGGCCCTTAATGGAATGTAACAGTATTGTCAGGAGGTGGCTCTGGATGTTTTGGAGGAATTAAAATATGTACAAGTAAAATATACAGATGGTACAGATAGTTCCTTCCAGCCATATCTACCATTTCTGAGGCCTTCACTTATTCCATGGCTAAATCTCTTCACTTCAGGCTGCAAAACTTACCTGGCTCAGTTCCAGGCTTTGATCAGTGGAGTTTCCTTCCTTGAACTTCTTTCCTGCACCCCATGTGGCTTCCTGACTGACCCCATCTACCTTTGTCCCCAGGAGTCGAGCCCTGGACTTCCTTTCTGGTCGGGATCCATGCGATGCCCTCACCAACTCCAGTTTGACTACAATAATGTGAGTGGGTTGTTCAACTTGGGAACTGGGGATTCTAGAAGAGAGCAGGCTTTGCTTTCTCAATAAGCATCATCCAGGAAAGGTCAAGACATTTCTTCTGTTGAGTGACCATTCTCATCTTAATTTTAAAAGGATAAAAGTAAATGTACACCTTCAGTCTCATGAACACACACACACACATACATATTCGATGAATGAGAATTGTTTGTTGTTATTGTTTCCTAGAACGGGTGGCAAACAATTCACAATAAATAGCTAAAAAGGAGTATGAATCCAAAGTGTTTAATCAACAAGAGAAAGACTAGTTCATTTCAAACTTGCCTTGAATGTTTCAAAGGAGGATTCCAAATTCACTGGAATGCCCTATCTGAAGCCACTGTTTCTCACAGTCATAGTAGAAGGCTGCATTAGGTGATGTGTTATATTGATCATATGAGAGGGGAGGGTTTGTTTAGCTGAATGGTAGGGGATTTATTTTTGGAGGGTCATCCAATGCTTCCAGTTGTTGATTTCGAGAAACAAGAACTCAGGGTTTCAGTGGAGAAAAGGGTACTGACTCTGCTAAAGCTACCTTTGGATTTTTATAGACCACCCACAAGAACTTCATTGTGAGTGCCAGTCGTCTCTTTGCCAAGACACACAGGCTGCTTGTTCATGAAGATGAAGCTACTACTTCCCAGGTCCTCCTTGAGTTGCATCTCCCACCCTTCCACCCACATAAAGGGATTCATATCCCTGCTACCGATGAGGAGATTCCAACATTACCAATTGCGTCTGGTAAGAAATCGATGAGATCAATGATAGACAGAAAACTAAACTGCTTCTGTTAGCTCCTAAAAATCCTTCTGCTGATGTTAATCAAAGATGTGGGTGGAGGTTTTCATTGAATTGTAAGGGTGATATAAATGCCTTTAAACAAGCAGATAATGTTTTGTTCATTCCATATCACTCAAAGGATCTTACTTGGCCTGCTCCAAATATGTCTTTTAGATCAGACAAGGCTGGCAGAACTCAAGCAAGAATGGGGAAAGCTAAAAGAGGAGCTTGAAAAAGACAGTGACCTCGTATCTGGTCATATGGAGCCACTTCACTTTGAGAAGGTATGGGCATGCTTGTTTATTGCATCTTGCTATGCATTTCTTTCTGTGTAGACCTTGGAGGGCAGTGAGTGAACTGTGTGACTCCACTATTCCAATTGTGACCTCCTCTCTAGCAGTTCTTCATCTTGGACCAGGCAACTTCAGCTTAGAGCTAAAACACTTTAGGAGATGACTCATGAACTGATTTTTCCATTGTTCCCAGTATCTGTAAAGGGCAAGTATGAACAAGAGCCGCATGTTTTTTTTAAAAAAATATTCAGAGATCAAATGCTGAGTTACAAAAAACACTCCCTTTGTATCGCGTACACAAAATGTAGGATTATGACTCAAAGTCTGAGCTACAAATCAGACAGCTCCTGGTTTTGAATCTCACCTTTACTGAGAACTCATTGGATAGCTTGAAGTGGGCTGAGCAACTTCTTTTAGATTGAAGGAAGTATTTGGACATTCATGATGTGCTGGAGCCCTTATTCCCAAAAGTGGGTGAGGCCAGGTCATGTTAAATGGGCAGAAACCAAGCAAAACCTAGATAAAGCTGAGTTCAATAATTTAACTTCCCATGTACCTAATGATTTACTTCATTTATTTGTAAATCAAAGGTGTAGGTAAGTTTTAGATGGACTCTGAGGAAACATTAAAGTCTTCTTTCCAGAAGAAAATTCTCATGAGGAAAAAAAAGGAAATAATCATGCTTTTGGTTGCTAAGTTACATATTAAATTTGTGGTGGAATCTCACAAAAGAGGAAGATGGGAGCCTGTGACCTCAAGACTCAGGCATGCTACTTAGAACAATTATTTGTCTTTATATCAGAGCAAACCATATCTGGATAAACGGCTCTTTTGAGTTGATAAAGCTACACTCCTGGGCATATCTCTCTAGAAGATCACAGATTTAATTCTGAGCCATGCGTAAAATTAAGACAAAATAAAGTCAGAAGGATTGTTGGTCGAAATTCATTCTTATCTGGGGCTGGCAATGAGAATGATGGAGACTGGAGAATGGGGAGGTGCTTGAATGTGAAATGATAAGGATGTGGAACATTTAAGGAAATTGGTGGGTTCGTGCCAAGGGTTTTGCTCACCCTCGCTATCACAGACTCTTAAAAGGAAAGTTAAGCTGGATACTGAAAGCGGAGCTGACTTTCTGTGTACAAAAAAAACCCTCTTCAGCTCTGAGTTATGGCCTTCTTCAGCTTGCTCACATCTTGCAGTAGGAAGTCTGTTTTATTTAGTAGGGGAGAACATTGTGATTGAATGATATTCCTTGTGTGTGCAGAGCAGTATTGGAACAGGCCCACAGCTGCTATGAGCCAAACTTTTTGCATACAGTGGGCATTTGTCTGCAGAAATGCAGTTGTAATGTAGGAATCTTGTGGGGATTATATCCAAATATGTCATCAGCTGCCAGGATCGGGGTGCAGATTTCAGTTAAGGTGGAATATTTTCCATATATTGCCATTTCAGTTGAAAGTTGCTGTCAAATGCTCCTAATAGAAATCTCATTTACCAGTCAGGTTTAGTTGCTTTGACCTTTTCCATGTTTTGGAGGCTACTGTTTCTGGAGTTTTGCATTATAATTGAGTTGACATTTAGGATTTAAGTTTCTTAAGTTTCTAGAAGAGAGCAATATCATTATTTAAAAAACACAAAACAACATTTAATTCAGGTTATGTACTTAAGGGCTAAGGTACATTTTGTCATTCATTAGATTACACAAATAGTTTAAAATTGTAGATACGTATTTCACATTATTTATAAACCACCTCAGTCCTGAAGGGCTCTGGATGCCATCACAACATAAAAGAAAATATAAAATGTAACAGTACATATTTTGTAGCCAGAGTTTGGATGCCCTCATTCTGACCAATTGGGGCCAAAGACACATTGAATAGCACAGATTTGAATTGTTACAGAGTGTTAACATAAGAGGGTCTGAACTGAGAGAGGGATGTTGTAAAGAATGAGGGGGACCATGAAGAAAGTGTGTACTCCAGGAAGTCCTTGACTTAACCATTATTCATTTAGTGACCATACAAAGTCACACAAGAACCCTGAAAAAAGTGACTTATGACCGGTTCTCACACTTACAACCATTGCAGCATCCCCACAGTCACGTGATCAAAATTCGGTTATTTGGCAACCGGCATACATTTCCGATGGTTGCAGACTCCCAGAGTCCTGGGATTGTCACTTGCAAAGCTTCCCAGGAAACAAGCAAAATCAACGGGGAAGCCAGGTCTCACTTAAAACCACACGATTCACTTAACTGTGGAAAAAAGGTCATAAAATGGGCTGTGTCTCACTTAGCAACTGCTGTCCTTAGCAACAGAAATTTTGCTCCGTTGGAGTCATAAGTTGAGGCCTACCTGTAATCTGGTTCACAGCCATGTATTTCTTGCAAGGGTATGGGTGGGGCCCTCAACAGATACGGCCATTGATTGCCCTAGAAAAGCAGATCCGTTTTGGCAAGCGGCTTCCTGCATATCCTAATGCTGCACCATAAAGAATTTTTAAAAATATTGTTCAGACCAACTGCCCAAAAGTGTCATTATGTGTGTTCTGAATTAAGTCTGGAGGTCTATTGGCAGTTACAATAGTAACTTTAGTGTTGGGTTTACTCTGTGCTCGTGGAATTATGCCACCAGCAGTCTAGTTGCATTTTGCATCAGCTCAAAGGCAACCTTACCTACAGCCTGTTGTGAGGATCCAAATTAAGATGCAGAAGATTCGATCTGAGTTGAGTCCCAAGAATATATAGGATTGAGACTTTTGTCCCTGCCCCTGTCATTTCCTCAGTTGGGTTGGAAAGGAAGAGATTTCAAATAGTTAAATTCCTCCCTGGAATCAGGGACCGACCAGGGTTGTCACAGCATTTTAATCACACGCTCGCTGACTATGTGAATGGCATTAAATCTAGTTTGGCTCTAACCACCATTCATTTCAGTAGAGAGGGTTTAAACATGTGCTTAAATTTGTACAATTCTGAGTAGATTGTAGTCACTATTTCTTGGGTTTTTTCCCATTTGGGCCCCAAGTTATTTGATCACATTGCAGTCTGTTGCTGCTGTTTCATTCTTGAGCTCATTATTCATAAATCTGTAAAGAAACATTATCGTATCCCTGTGTTAGTGAAGAAACTTGGGCCCAGATTAAGAAGGACATCCATTCAAAGACAAATGTGCAGTTCCCCAAAACAGGGTCGTGGATATTGTTGTGAGTTTGCATCTTGACTGTATTCAGACTTTGGAAGTGCCAGAATGTTTGGAAAGAGCTGTTGATGGTCCTGTTTCTTTCTGATACTCTTGTTCTGTTGCTGCCCACATGATCAGAACTAGTTACCTGCTTGACAGAGTAACACTGCATGCTAGGACTTCCTGACTGGACTACTGTCTTGTGCTTTCCGTGGAGCTACCCTTGAAGACCACGCAGAAGTTACAGTTAGTCCAGAATGCAATCGCATACTTCAATGTGCTCATAGTTGCACTGGTTCTTGTTTTCTTTTGGAGTGCAATTCAGGGTGCTGGTTATCTCTTTTAAACTCTGCATGGCAGAAAACTATGTAGAACTGAGGGTATCTGCCTTCTCCCCCAGGTCAGATTGGGAAGGCACATTCCCTTCCCCTGGTTGCTGTAGTCTAATAGGGCCTTTTCCATAGCAGCCTCTGCTCAGTGGAGTTCCCCTCCTGGGACCAACAGGGTCCACCCTTTTAGCCTTCCAGAAAGCTGCAAAAAGCTGGTTTTTTCCCCCCAGGCATTGGGTATAGGCATCGGAGCCTGGTGATCACATTGTCCGATAGATGGATCGGACAATGGATATTGTTGGTTAAGGAACTAGGCTTTTGCTTTTATTGTTTCTTTTATTTTCTATTCTTCTATTACTGTAAACCAGAGGTCTCCAAACTTGGCAACTTTAAGACTTGTGGACTTCAACTCCCAGAATTCTCTAGCCAGAACAGCATATTCTGGGACTTGAAGTCCACAAGTCTTAAAGTTGCCGAGTTTGGGGGTGGGTGGGGCGCTGTAAATCATCCAGAGCTGTGTGTCATAAAATGTGTGGCCTTATAACTCTTATCAATTAATTATTCATGAATCAGACCACCATCCTATTTTTGCAGTACTTATAACTAGTGTCGTATTGTATTTTCTACACAGTTTCACAGCTTACAGTTCCTGTTTACACTTTTTTTTTTCACATTGTCCCATATCCCACTTGAAGCTGCCTCCGTCCTCTCAATTCAGAAATATTCCCAAAATATCCAGTGGAGTAGCTGTAATGTAGCATTGATATAGGTTGGACAGACAAAAGGAGCAGCCATATTTTAAAAATGGTGAAATAGGTTTGTCATGTGGGAAGAAGGAGGATAAAGAGGAAGGGGGAAAGACTTGAGGGCACAATTCCTTAACCAAGTCAAGGGCAACCTTTGTATTGCAGCTGCTCTGGGCTGTGGAAACTTATTTAGCTACACACTGTTTTCCAAGATTGCACAATACATTACACGCACACTGTTTTTGCAGTCATTGGAGTTGTTTTCCTTTTACTAAAAATAAACCCTCCAAACCTCATATCTACCCCCATTACCACATTTTTATGCCTTTTCTTTACAGTCTATCCAATCCCAACTATTCTTTGTTTTTCCTGATTTTTGTAAGGCTTACAATCACTTTTGTCTCCTTCCCATTGAGATCCTTTTCTGTTACTTCCACCACTTCCTGGTTAGGACTGATTTTGCCATTGTTGGGCCCTTAGGATAAGGACTCCCATTTGGAATTCATCACGCATGCAGCCAATCTGCGAGCTGAGAACTATGACATTTCTCCAGTGGATAAGTTCCAGGTGAGGCCGGTCGGAAGGCTTTGTTTCTTCTCCCCCCCTCCTCTCTCTTATTACCAATAAATGAAAGACAGAAAATGGGGAGTTGAGAATGGGGATATCGGGATTATGTTCTGGCTGTTTGAGAAGAAGTCCATGCAGCAAGGTTAATTCTTCACAAGGCTACTCGAGAAGGTGTGGGGGAACAGTTTGAAGCTTGTGGGGAGAGGGGATATCAAGGGAATGGAGGTGGTGGGAGGCTACCAATTCCTTAGGCAAAGCCTCTTGAGAAAAACCTTCCCCGGCGCTTGCCACCTGCAGAATGCCTTCCTGCAAGAAGCAGCTTTCTCTCCTCTCATTTGCCTGGTGTCTTGTCCAACTTCATTTCAATAGGCCAAGAGGATTGTGGGCCGGATTGTACCTGCTATTGTCACAACAACAGCTGCTGTAGCTGGCCTGACCTGCCTGGAGCTTTACAAATTGGTGTGGCAGCACAAGGATCTTGGTTCGTATCGCCATAGCTCCTTCCAGCTCTCTGATCCGTTCCTCAGTCGCGCCCAGGCTGTGCCATCTCCACAAGCGTACAAGGTGAGAAAGCTATGTGACAATCCTACTTTGGGCTCTGAATTCATCCATGGTTTGAAAACAGGAGGAGATTAGATGGGTCTCTCTTTGTGCGCAAGTCAAAGATCAGAACAAGCAAGAGAAAACTCCAGAGGAATTCTAGAACATCTGGATGTCTAAAAGGCTGGGGCAAGGGGTTGTTGTAGTGCTAGGAGCCAAATCATTCCAGAACAGAAATCAAGTTGCTTTGCACTAGTAAACAAGTAACTTCTGTAGCCACAGATGCTGGTGGCCATCTTAGTTTATAGAAATCTCGCTGCATTGAAGGAGGGAAGGAAGAGCAATGGTCCTATTTCATGCTCAAAAGAGTCCTAAGGGTGGCTTTGGCGTTCAGTATTTGTGATCACGTGGATGTGTGGGTGACACACCCTCTGTCCCTGCACTTTTGCTGGAATGTTTGAAAACACTAAAGGCTATCATGACAGAGTTACTGATTTTTCTGGCACAAGCCTGTCTCCAGACATTGCAACGGAAGAAGGAAAACTGGAAGTATGAAGGCCCTGATCTTCTGGCATGTGGTCCTGTCCTTGGCTCCAGCATCTAGCCACAGTTCCCTCTTGGAAGTAGGGTTTATAGCATTAATTAGAGATAGTGCATTGCTGTGGGTGTTACTGACAGCAACGATTCAAGGTAAAAGGGCTGCTTTTACAATTTTACTATTTATTTATTCCTGAAATTCATACAGCCACCGAAGGTGACTCTTTAGCATGTGGGCGAGAATGACGTCCGGGGTACAGATGCTGCCAACCCATTCCATACAGCGCCATCTTGTTCCTTCTGTCTGGGGTACCGGAAGTGAGTTGCTTACCCAGCACTGATGTGAGGGGGGGGGAGGGGGCAGGGGAAGCTGCTCGAGCTCTGCTCATTTCAGCTGCTGCTGACCCTGCCTTTCCTGAGCCCCTTCTGGCAGGCAGACGGCGAAGGAGATCTAGTTTCAGAAGCCGATGCCTGGACTTTGTATCAAGCCAGCAGTGGTGCAGAAGGGGAGGGATGGATAGGTGCCTGAGAGCTGTCAGACACAGGAAATGGTCTTTAACCTGCAGCTGACATTCACAGCTGGTGCTAAGCCGCACACCAACCCGGAGGGGCCATCCACGGTGTTTTCTTTTGGCAGAAACCACCGATGCCAGCCTTGAATCTCTCCACACACACATTCATTTTCTCTCCAGGTATGATGAAGGGCTTTCACTGCGAGATTCAACAAAGTCAGGGCAAATCGGAGCTGAAATGGTGCTGTGACTGAAAGGGAACACATGTTAACAGAATCATAAAACCATACGGCTGGAAGAGACCTTGTCGGGCTTCTAGTCCAATGCCCTGCCCAAGGCAAAAGCCCTTATGCCGTCCCAGGCATCCCATCCTTCTACCGTTGCCCAATCTGTGTTCTCAGAGATAAGCCACAGAAGTCTCACAGGCATCTTCAGAACAACCTCAGGATTCAGATGTATCCTCTCTCGCCATCAAAGTGGTTCTTGTGGATAATAGTAGTAGAATCAATGACATTGCTATATAAAAAAAATACCTTCTCGCACTTGAAAAAGCAGTGGGCAAAGGTATAAGTTGTGGTGGGGAACTGTGTCATTAAATCAAAGCTATCTGTAATGCATTGAAAGTATGTCACTATCCTACCACTGTCAATGGTGGATCTTTCTAGGACAGGATCCACCACTAGACAGTTTGTATATGAGGTTCTTTTATTATATGTTTCTGCTTTTCTTATTAAGCTAAATTTGTTGGAATTTCCATATGATTTTTTTCTAAATGATGACTAGCTTAGAGTCAAGATGGAGTTACACATTCAAACCCCTTCCTTCCTTCCTTCCTTCCTTCCTTCCTTCCTTCCTTCCTTCCTTCCTTCCGTCCCTATCCCTTCCTTCCTTCCTTCCTTCCTTCCTTCCTTCCTTCCTTCCTTCCTTCCTATCACTTCCTTCCGTCCTATCACTTCCTTCCTTCCTTCCTTCCTTCCTTCCTTCCTTCCTTCCGTCCCTATCACTTCCTTCCTTCCTTCCTTCCTTCCTTCCTTCCTTCCTTCCTATCACTTCCTTCCTTCCTATCACTTCCTTCCTTCTGTCCTATCACTTCCTTCCTGCCATCCTGTCACTTCCTTCCTTCCTTCCTTCCTTCCTTCCTTCCTTCCTTCCTTCCTATCACTTCCTTCCTTCCTTCCGTCCTATCACTTCCTTCCGTCCTATCCCTCCCTCCCTCTCTTCCTTCCTTCCTTCCTTCCTTCCTTTCCCTTCCTTCCTATCCCTTCCTTCCTTCCTTCTGTCCTATCACTTCCTTGCTTCCTTCCGTCCTATCCCTCCCTCCCTCCCTCCCTCCCTTCCTTCCTTCCTTTCCCTTCCTTCCTATCCCTTCCTTCCTTCCTTCCATCCTATCCCTTCCTTCCTTCCTTCCGTCCTATCACTTCCTTGCTTCCTTCCGTCCTATCCCTCCCTCCCTCCCTCCCTTCCTTCCT